GCTGGTTACTGGTCTGCAGTTTCATTTGCTAAATCTGGAACCAGGCTTTTGGTTAAACAGAAAGGAAAACACAGACTCTAGATGTCCCTAGATGTCCCAGGCAAAAGACACAGGGAGGGGGGCTAGGAAGAGCAATTACATCATCTGCAAACACCTATAATGGGCTGGGGAGGGGTAAGAAATCCTCGGCAAAGGTGTGAAAATGGACCGATGGCATCCCCATGCTTGCCACAAGGTATTCTGCAAGAGTCACACCTAGCTCCGATCACTGAGAAAGGAGCAACATGTCCAAGCGCAGCAAGGTGTCCATTTGTATCTGTGCCACCACACGCCCGTCCACCCCCGCTGCCTGCAAAGCAGAGAGGCCATTTGTAAGAGGGAAACCTAAGACACAGTGCCCTGTCTGTGTCCCCCCAGGCACATGTAGTCTCACATAAAAGGCGGCTGCCGGGTTTCTTTTAAAAGTGCGCAAGCCCTGAAGGCTCCTCCCGGAGAGCCGCACATGGAGACCATTCTTTCCAGCTTCTACCCCTGGCTGAAGCCGGGATGATGAATGGAAGTTGTCAGTGATGCGTTGTTTCTTTAGCCGCCTGCAAGGTCTGCCTCCCTGGCCCCAGCCAACTGGCAATGTGTTGGGATCTCTCTGCACACCTGGTTGTAACTGAAATAAACTAGTTGCCCGATGAAGAAATCTCAGAAACCTGCTGTTAATGATTTATTTCAGGGTAGAATCTTTGGTGTGCTTTTTGAAGGTTGTTTTAAAATGATTATGGATTTCTGTATTTTATAAGTAAAATACAAACCATCACTCTTCTAGCTCCCATTCTGAAGAAACAGGAGATAATTGTTCAAGAGGAAACTTTTAAAAATTCCCACAGGAATCCTTTATCACCTAAGCCTCCCACTCAGAAAAGCTGGCAACTAGGGAACCTGGAGAGAACCCAGGGAAAGGACTTCCCTTCCCCCCAAGAAAAGTGATTGAGCATCAATTTTAACGTAACTCCTTACAGTCTGACTGCAGTTCCCACTCGTGTGCAATAAGAAACACGAGCAGGGCGCGCCACGTCGCTGCATACTTCCGCACTGATGTATTTCCAACTGTCCTGGAGGGTTCTCTCCCAGCTATTCCTAGGATGTTTGGGGCCTTATTCTTGTCATCTTCTCTTACGTGTTTGATCTACAAGATGAAGTAGTTTCAAAGCGGTGCTTTTACACTTGGGCACATGGGGCAGGATGGGAAGGAGAAAAGAGTTGTAAGAAGAAAGGCAATTTACTATGCCAGTAGTATCCTGCTTGCCCCACCATTATTGAAGACACTTGTGTGTAAGTAGGGCTCTTTTCCTCTGTGCTTACGAGAGTAATCTTTTGCCAAGGAAATGACTGTAAAGTCACCAGTTTAGCATTATGATTGTACTGAAAGATCAAGAAAGAGAGAGATGGGCTGTGCGTCTGCAAGCCCATGGTAACACATGGGCATCTTTAATCATCAGCAATATATGGATTGTCATCTGCAAAAGATTAATAAGGTTTGGGGTTTTACCAAAAACTGCTTAACTTTTGAAAAATACTTTGCATTGGTGGATATTTACCTTTCCGTTGATTTGGAGTTAGGAGAAATTAACAATGATCTGAAAAAAACTTGGGGGGGGGGGGCCTCTACCATAGATTCAAGCAGTAAAAGCAACAGTCACAAACTCCAACTTGGGTAAACTCAGGGTCCTGATGGTTTCCTTAAAGATCATTACAAACAGTTCTGTGATTCACTGGTCTCCCACTTGTTTCACATGTAGAATTTTAATCTAAAGAAGGAAGCCTTTCCAGGAGGGCCTTACTTCTCTGAACAACAGCATAAAACCCGCAAATCTTAGCTCTGCACTAAATTTAAACTCCTGGCAAAAACTGATTAATAGGCTGGGGTTGGAGGATTCGGGAGAAGCGGTCAGACAATTACTTCTAGTGGTCAGTGCACTGGACTAGAAGCAATGTGCTTTATCATTAACTGGAAACTGTAAATTAAGTAAAATTAAGGAAAAATTTTTATAACTGAAAATTGTTAGGAAATTCCTATAGCCAGCAATAAGATGCATATGCCCACCCAAAGTGAGCAAATTTAAGACAAAGATCCTCTTTGGAAGAGCTAACTGGAAGAAAACTCCTCAATTCAGTAGGTAGAATAGTTAAAGAAAACAAGTGTGGTTGCCACAGAAATCAGAACGTAACAGTGTCTCCTATTCCCCCAGCAGGAACCCTGGTGAAGTCGCTGAGGCCCTGCTTGCTTTCCAGGCTGTCAACCTAAGACCCAGCAGTGAGCCAGGCTCCACACACAGCAATCCTTATAGGAGGGCCTGACTGCAATGTTCCTATGAAAAATGAGGACAGTGCTGAATTGAAGGTAACTTTCTCAATAAAATTGTACTAAAATATTGTTACCTAAGAAGTCACTGGACACATGGGAAAACATACAATGTAGTATAAAGAGGTGGTCGGTTACGGCTCCCAACCTGTTTGCAATTTCTACCCAAGTATGAGGCCTAATTCACTGCATGGTGTGATCCATATCACAATTAAAAAAAAATCCTAAGTATTACAGGAAGAATTAGGGACCAGCCCTGGCTGGATGGCTCAGTTAGTAGGAGAGTCGTCCCGTACACTAAAAGGTTGTAAGTTTGATCCCCAGTTGGGGTAGGTACTAGAGGCAACCAATTGGTGTTTCTCTCTCACAACAATGTTTCTCTCTCTCTCTCTCTCTCTCT